TGTGCTAAATGAATTCAACCAGCCACTGAGACACTTGATCCTAATAGATTCTGCAAATTTCAAGAACCAGACATTGGAGTGAGGAATGGGGAAAATCACTCACCAATAAGGCACAAAGCAGCCAGCATCAACACAGAGGCTGCAAAGGCTAATGAACAACATAGTAACAAAGAGACTTGCAAAGACGGGATGACCATATATCACTAATATCGGCAATGGTGTTGCAATGCCTGGTTGGACTCTGGAAGAAGTTACACAATTTCAGGAGAAGCACAAAGGTAAAGTAGAAATATGACTTTAAAGTAAGGGTACAGGATATGCACGAGGGAAAGTTGTACCTTAGTTATAGAAGTTTAATTGACTTAATTTAAATCACTTGGTTGACAGAAATGGTAACAGGAATGAGGCAAATTAGGTTTTAGCAGTGGTAACAACAAATTACATACACAAGTTATGATAGGAGAGTAAATGTATTGACAGAAAGGAGTTTCCATTGGATAGATCAATGTATCTGAAATCCCACTCATCTCCTATGTCTAAAGGGAAATTCTCACATTATAGGACACAGGCTTTGACATGTGAAAGCATTCATACAGTGTGTGAATAGGATATTCACCAGAGAGTCTGGACCTATTAAGATGGACCACAAAGAACCCTGCACTGTAGTAAGTACCATATTAATCACATATTCTACAATATGGACAATATGTTATCTAACTTATTGATTGTGCACAGGCAAATTATAATGCATTTTATGTCAGTATAGGACCCAAGAGGTCAAGTGTTCTTATGTGTTCATAATGCATCATCTGTCCTCTTCACAGATCAAGGGGAATGCAGTCAAACATCAGACAATGATGCAGAAATCACACTCCTGAGCATCAGTTGTCAGCCATTCTATCTCATTTGAAGCTGGACACACATGGAATAGCACAAGTTCAGTTAGTAGCAGTAGTTCTGTGCCATCATGTAGCATTACATGATTGACTGCAGGCCTCTAAGAACTCTAGAGCACTGGAGGTATTTGCACAAATGCAGGAAAACACAGTCATTACACTTTACAGTGAATCATGTGAAGCACTTTGGGATGATGTGATAAAGCGCTATATGAAAGTCAAGCATTATTATAATTACATACAACCAACTGTTCTCCTCTGTCTCCTGCTGCTTTACAAATGGCTATACAGCCACCAGTGCTATACCATTGCTAGAGATCTAATTGATATTCAATTATTTCCTGTGAAGTGTTTGAGATGTTGTGGTAAAGTTCTATAAATTGCAAGTCCTTTCACTTTCTACAGTATATCTAGAACAAGCACAGAGATGTCATGGCTCACAAGGAGTGAAGAACGTAAAACACATACATGGCTAACACTGCACAGCTTAATAAAACTGATGCACTGTTACATTATCTTTTGTTTGTCATTCTTTCATTATGCAGAAAACCAACCAGCAATGGATCTTTTTGAGTCCTGCTGAAAATTGGCTTCCAAGTTAAGACTGAATTTAAAATGAAACACAATCTTAAATTTTAAGATAATCCTTTTTAAGCCTAAAACCAGGATCCATTTCAGGCTTTTGGTGGTTCTCTAGAGCAGTGGTGGCCATCCCAAGGCTCATGGTAATTTTTGCTTTATCTGTGTTAACGCTACAGGAGGAGGAAGTGAAGGTGGTGCCTGTGATATTAACAACCTAAATATTCTCACTTTTTTGTTCATAATTCAAAATTCAGAAGTTTATCATATATTCAGAAGTTTAAATTGAAGTATAATTATGAAAATAGGAATAGATGGTAAACAATTATAATTTGTAAATGCCATGTAAGCGATATTGATTACAAAGAAGGCACCTTTATAACTGAAAAAGCATATGTCTTATCTTAGGAGATATGGGGATATATAAATACAACAACAACAAGATTACATTTGTATAGCACCTTTCACGTCGGGAGGATGTCCCAAGGCGCTGGACAGTGTGCAGCATTTCAGACCCGAGCTGGGGTCGGGGTGGGGAAGGGAGGGGAGGGGAAGGGGGGTGGCCAATGGTATGGTGGAAGAGGAGGGTCTTGAGATATATATATATATCCTAAGGGAGAACATTGAGGAATGAAAATGGGAATGAAATGGCGTCATTCCTATGGTCATTATTATTTTCCGTGTCTTCACATTACTGAGATATGACACACCTAGATTTCAAATGTATATGTTGTTAATCAGATTTTTCTTCAAAATTCACAGGCTCATTGATACGCTAATTATAAAATCCGGATTCTATGTTTACCATACACAAAACAATGTGATAATTCGGTGTGAAAGTTATCCTAAATTTACATATAACAAAATAATTACAAAATATTTCTAGCAATATAAAAGAACTCTATCCCACCTTTGGAGTTTTTTCTGGTGTCCTGATCAACAATCCGTGAGATAAAATTGGCCACTCACTTCATAGCTGTTTGTGGGACACTGCTGTGCGCAAATTGGCAGTGGCAGTGGCATTTGCCAACAAAATATACAGTTCATGGCAAAGATGTTCTCCTTCGTACCCACCTCAGTTCTGCCCCACCAGCTCGGGTGGCTGGTCAGTACTGTTATGTGGTTTGGGATGTGTTTCTGATGTGAAAGGCTCTATATAAATGTAAATTTGTCTTGTATGTTTACTGAAAACTGTGAAGCATTTTGAGAGGGTTCAATTTAACGATTACTGTAACAAATGCAAGAATTATTATTATTAAGAAACATAGTAGATATTGTCATCATGCTACAATGAAGAACCTATCTATAAAGTGTGATACTGTAATCGGATCTGATATACATAACCAGAGATTGGAGCACTGGAACTCAGATGACAATGTACATATTGTAAGTTATATATGGATTTGCTGCCTCTGGAAGATTCTGCGCTATTGATAAACCAGTTTAAAATTCACCGGTCTCTACTTTTACACTCGTTTATACCACAATGCAGAATCTTGCAATTCAGGGCACTTTAGATCAATATATTCAACTCAGTACTCAGTTCTACTGTTTAGCCCACACACAGTCATCTCATAAACTGAGATTTTCTCTACAATTGTGAGTTTCAAAAGAGTGGAGCACTAAAGCACTCTGGTTTAATGATTGTATCTGTCTTTCTGTGTAAGTTGATATTAATGCAGCTCTCTGGGTCAGCCAGCTCAGTTAGTCCTCTCAGGCAGTTTTCCTGATGATTCTCTCAGATATCAGTATTTAACAAAGTCATTCAGAAAATTAATGAAACAGACAGAAAGCAAAGGATGATCAAGATAATCATTTAACTTTTAAAAAATGTACCATAGAGAAGATAATTATTTTCTAAAAATCAACTGAAATTAAAATCATTTTACATTGCAGAATGCATCAACTATAATGTCATGTTTCAAGTATGATTTATAAGCAGATCTACTTATTAGTGTCAGTGCTGTTGGCTGCTAACTGTATGTAATATCATGAATGCGACATTATGGTAAAGTGTTAGTCAAATATATATTAGCATGGTTAAGAACATAAAAGCTCCAATGTCAGAAAAGCTATAGCTACTATACTGTACTTACATAAATGTGGCTGGAATCATTGTATGCTATTTCTGGAATTAGAATGAGAGTTGAGGGCGAAAAATATGTGGTAAGATAGCACCATCATTAATACTAACTTCTATCCTTCATTAATTCGAAATCCCCCTCCATTTAAATTCAATGGGGGTAGAAGGGGATGTGAATAATCCCCTAAGTGATTTAGTGAGTGAAAGAATGATCAAATTGTTGAAATAATATGGAGGTGGTATTTTCTACTGTTTACTTCTAAAATACAGCTCATTTGATAGCTGCTCTACACTACAATCAAAGCTATAAAGAAAAGTCTTCAATAAACACAGAGTTAATGAGAGGATGACCCAAACCCATGACAGTGTGACAAGGAGTAGTGACTAAAATACTGTTCAGCAATGCAGTTTACCCATATTTGTAATATTATAATAATAATCCTTGCATTTGATATAGCGCCTTATCAAGTCAACGAGACATCTCAAAGTGCTTCACAGAATATACTGTAAAGTGAATTGACTGTATATTTTGCGAGTGAAATTTTGAACTTGCAGGGACCATGAGAGAAAGGGGGTTGGAATGGAAGCCCAGAAATAAATGGTTAAAACCATAGAGGTGAAATTCTACTTTGCTTTAGATTTACATTTAGATCAGTAACATAATATGTCCAAACATCAAGAATTTTGTAATTTACATGCACAATTTGCCTTGCAACTGCACTGTTTTTTTGAAATCTGAGGAGAAACTTCAAGCCTGCACAAATGGAAGGAAAAATAGTGATTTATTTGTGGTGCTTTGTTTTACATTAACCCTATCTCCATGAGCAAAAAATATCAACAAATAGTTTAACAGGTACATTTTATCATGTGTATGAAAGTTAAAAGCTTGAAGAGTATGGGGATAGGATAGAGCAGTGAGTTTAAAAATACATCTTACTCAGAACCAGTGGAGACTCATCGGTCTGAATGACTTCCTTCGGCGATTTAAATTTATACAATTCTATCCTGCACTATGCTGTACGTCAGTTCTGACTCTTTTAAAAATGACTTGTTTTTTCCCATATGAATCCAGTTGACTCCTGAGTTAATATTTTGCATGGAAATTCTGGATTTACTGATTTTCTGATTTGCTGTCCTGACAGAGGGTTTTGTTGCATACCAATAATTATACAACTTAAGGCAACAGTAGCCTCGCCTTATTTTGTGATTTAGCAATTGTATTTAGCTGGTAATTTTTAAAAAAAACTCAACATTATTCTTGGGCGAGCTATTTAAGTGACTTCTGTATGCTTTAGAAGGTTTATCTTCAGTATTTCAATGACTCATCCTGTAGCATGTTTTAAATTTGTCCAATTACATGGCTCTGAGACACTATCCTGCATGAAGTGCATAATATAAATGCAAGTTGTTGTTCTAACTGCTTCCTTTTTTTTCTTTTTCAGTCACAGAAGGACCCATCCCTCGTGGACAAAATCATGAGAGATCTTGATGCAAATAAAGACAATGAAGTGGATTTCAATGAATTTGTTATTTTGGTTGGGGCTCTAACTGTTGCATGCAATGACTTCTTTGAAGAGCAACTTAGAAAAAAAGGCAAAACCCACTAGCGTTGACATCTTCAAAACAGGCATCTTGGTGAACACCATCTTAAAGAAATTATATAAACCTATTTTTCACTTAGAAATACTGTAAAATTACTTAAATTATTTTGTAAGTAAGAATATAGAATTAATTCTTAGCACAATAAATTGTCTACTAATTACATGATAAGGTTGCTTTTATTTTTACACTAGGGTATATTAATGGGAAATCAAGTAATCTGGATATTAATCGATGATTGCCCAGAAAATACACAGTCAATTCACTTTACAATATATTCTGTGAAGAGCTTTGAGATGTCTCAATGATGTGATAAGGCGCTATATCAAATGCAAGGATGATTATCATTATTATTATAAATGGATCATTCAACGAACACTTTTAGCTCTCTGAGGAGTTTGCAAATAAATTGAAAGGAGTACCCCAGTAAAACAAGGAAATGGAGAGGGAACTGATAGCCATGTCTGCAGATGGTGCTCTGATCACGATAGTCACAGTGGTGAAGTTCAAACAAAACTGTGAACATTAGTTTGATAATGGAAGGAGAGCACAGTGGGATTGAACAACGATTAGACAAGCTAGAGCTCTTCACCAACAACAACTTGCATTGATATAGCACCCCTCACACAAGGCAGGAACCAGAGAGCTTCTTCGGTCTTGAGAGAAGACAACTCATAGGAGACCTCATAGTTTTAAATGAGATTTAAAAAGTAAACCGAGATCAATACTTTAATATGTATAAGACAGTAGAACAAGAGGACATAGGTTTAGAGTTGTAAAGAGGAATTTCAGGACAGTAGCAGGAAGGTTTTCATTACACAGAAGGTAATCAAAGACTAGAACAGGGTGTCAGGAAGAGTGGAACTGCCCAGGACACAAAACTGATTTAGAAAGCAGTTTGATGCACTGATGGGGGGTAACGGTAGATGAGTGTTCTGGAGAGATGAGATTAGATGGGCCAGTCATGTGTGTGTAAGGGTGAGGCCTACAAAATACAGTCACTACACTTTACAGTCTATCCTGTGAAACTCTTTGAAATTTCCTCACAGTGTAAAAGGTGCTATATTAAATACAAACCCCATCTGAAATTGGCTAACAGCACAAACTAGTTTCGGAACCTGCAACCTTCTAATCTGTATAACTTAATCTGGGCAAATATTCACATGGTCAACAATATGGTGTGTCTAAGTATATGTTGTGTATACCAGAAAACATACAAATAAAATACATGTATGTGTCTTCCTTCAATTATCTTCAATTGAAAATATTTAAAATGTATATGATAAAAGATTGACAAAATGCCACAAGCAACAATTAGTGTTAGTCACATGGGTAAACTTTTCATGGTTGAAAATAGACAATTCTCACACATCAGTGAGAAAACTGTACAATGTGAGTTACATCATTTGAAATTACTCTCTTTAATCTAGTTGTTATCATCAAGCACTTTCACATGACATCAATGATGGGTAAAGTGCACCCACCGTTTGTGTAATGGACGTCAGTTATTTCAGCGCATTGGCTCCAACTGGCCTATGATGCAACTGGGAAGAGTTCAGTTAGTTCTCACACAGCTCACGCTCAGAGTCAATTTAAAGCATGTGAGATACCAAACAGTCCTACCTTAAGTCCTTCAATGCATGTGGGTCAGCAATAAATAACTCCAGACCAAGAGCAGCTGACTCACAATCTGACAAGAGCCTTTTTAAATGAATGTGTAAAGTGAGTCACTTGTTACAGAAACCTATTTTTATGACTCGATTGCAGGAACAATCTTCCAAAAGTAAGAATATTCCCAGTCATTCAGTTTGTTGGCTCAAAGCACAAAAGTGAATATTTTTCATGCATGTTACAATCCCAACTAGGGTGATTTTTTGTAATAGATTCGCTAACAGCAACAACCCAATTGCAATTATGTGGTACCTTTCATGTAGGAGACTATCTCAAAAGACTTTTACATTTGAGTGGAATTGAGTGGAAGCCAAAGCTGGTTGGGGTCCCCGAGCCTTGGTTTTTGCCATTCTCCAGCTAATACTTTCCGGAATTAGATAAGCAAGGTGCATCCCTCTGGGGAGAGAGTGTACATTCCAGACAAAGAACTCTCTGGGTGCAGGTGCTATACATGGAACTACATTTTTTTTTGCATCATTAGCACCTCTTTTCCCCTGTTTTGCTGCAATACCCCCTTTGTTTTGCACCATTAACACCTCTTTAACCCATCATCCCCTGTCCTCTACCCCATTTTCTCCTTTATCTTCCTTGCCCTGCCCCCCCTCTCTGTTAGCCCTTAAAAACCTTTCCCTCCCAACATGCCCCAGTTCTGACGAAGGGTCATGGACCTGAAACGTTGACTCACTTTCCTTTCTCCATAGATGCTGCCTGATCTGCTAAATGTTCCCAGCGACTTTTTTTGTTACATGGAACTATATGTCTAGTTTGGATATTCTTAAAAGTGGTGATGGATTTCTGCAAGTGTCAGCCAAAGTAAAGTTCACAAGTGTGGGAGGCACAAGGGAACGCTGCTGTAATGTCTTCTATCGTCAAATAGTCTGCCAATGCTCACTGACTGGGCTCAAATATGAAAAATGACCATTGGGGCAAAATGACATAAGACTGCGGGAATGAGAGAAGTGATGTGGAGAAAATTGATCAGTAAATAAAAACGTCATTGTCGACTGTAACCATTCACCATTCTCCAATAGAAATGAAGCCAGTCAATGCTTTGTATCTTCAGAAAATGTGGCTTCACACATCATGAATTGTTTCTCTGAGCTCAATATTTGAATAGAGGGATTTCTGGTTCCAAAGGCAAACATTCCTAATCATATTGCCCTTCAGAACTCATATAAGGGATGCATTCTTAAACTAAGACATGCTGACATCTCCCAAATAAGCAATGATTATTTGCATAATCTCCTGTTAACAAACGAGGGCTACAAATACTGGGATTGTCTCAAGCAACTGGTGGTACAGTTGATCAATTGCTTCAAAATAGGGACCTCAGTTACATTTCTTTATAATTATACAGCGAAAGCTGGCACTTTCATTAATGCCCGTGCATTCTGAATCTCCGCTTTCCAGGTTAACAAAGAAAAAAAATAATAATACTCTTTTGATATAGCGCCTTATCATTTCTTCGAGACGTCTCAAAGCGCTTCACAGAATATACTGTGAAGTGAATTGACTGTATATTTTGTGGGTGAAATGCGGCAGCGAATTGCGCGCAGCAGTGTCCCACAAACAGTCATGGATTGAGTGACCAAATTATTATTTTTACAATTTTTTTTAAGGGATTATTACTCCCAGAAAGCGATCCACTAATTGACTAACAACCAGGTTCCTACTTACTGCTGGTAAACAGAGGCGTTTGGAATAAGGAAACTTGCCCAAGTTTCATCCTGCTGGGAATCAAACCCAGGTCTCTTGCTTGCGAGGCGAGTGCTCTAACCATTGAGCTACAGGACTCCAAAAATAGAAAATAGTATTGTATTTTTTCCAGTGCTTTACAAACTGATGAATATTTTAAGAAGTTCAAAATAATGAATCACTGCAGTAATGGAAATGGAAGAACGGTCACATAAATAGTTTATAGAGGGCTTAGTGATCTTGTGTGGAAACATTTAAATCACTGCACTGCCATAGAGACAGGTATAGGGATAAATGCTGAGGCAATGACAAACATTGAGAAAAATGTACAGAACTGATCTTTATTGCCCACCAGAGACCTTGTGGCAGAGAAGTTCAACCAAGCAAATAAAAGACAGATAGAACTATAATATAAGTGTATTGAGGAAGTACAGTAAGATCTGAAAGCATATGTCTGTCTCATAAGTTATTGAAAAGTTTCAGATTCATTCTGGAACTGCCAGTTTCTTAGAATTGTCATTGGTTACAATTTAAATTCAATGCTTTTTGAACCAAAAAGTATATTAGATGATGGTTGAGCATACATCTATCGACATTTCAGAATATTCTGTCTGTTCAACCAGCAATTTAGTCAATACATTGATGTGGGTTCAAAGACCTGGTCAGAAGACATTCCCGTATAAAAGAAATTCTATAATGATATTTGTTGCGCTCACTGGTCTGCAGTGGACTAATCAATATTAGGCAATGTTATGATCTGTCAGGTGTTCAGAGGACACAGACAATATATGCCATTGAGCACAGCAGTGCCTGACTGTCCAGAAGGCAATGCTTTGCCTTTTCATGCTTTGCCTTTTCATGCATAACAACACTGAATCTTGCAGATTCGAACTATGAGCTATTCCATTTACTGAGGATGATCCCTGGAATTGCCTTGTTAACCATGGCGTACAGACATTTGGTCAGGAAATCAATGGTCTAGTAAATTTTTGTAATTTTCCAATAGTGACAAGGATTAACTGTTTTAGTCACGTTACAAAGAATTATATAAATTTACAGTATGAAAACAGGCTATGCGGCCCAACTACTCCATACCTGTGTTTATTCTCACCGTGAGCCTCCGCCCCTCTTAATCCCATTTCCCTCTGTTCCCTTCTCCTGCCCATATTCTCCCTTCAGCGCCTTGGAACGTCCTCCCGATGTGAAAGGCGCTATACAAATGTAATTTTGTATTGTATATGTACCCATGTTATCACATTTTTAAATAATCTGGTAATAAAAAAAATGCGTTTGTCAAAAAATGTGTAGGAATATAATAGGAAAGATATGGGATTAAATATGAATGTAAAATATAAATATAAAATATACATTTTAAATATAAATATGAATTAAATATCATTACATATGAAAAAATCTCAAAACACACAAATTTATACTGATTTATTGAAAGAATAGCAAATGCTAAATAGAATTTATATATTTTTAAATCTAGTAAAATTAATTACAAGAGGTCAATTTGTGACACTTGAAACCTGTGGAAAACTTAATTTTGGGCTTAACAATATGAAAAGTTTTATGAAGAAAATATTGTCTTTATACTTCACAATTATATTTTTGCCCACAAAATATGCAATAAATTCAC